TGAGGTTGGCCCAGTATCGGGCAGTGTTTCATTCTGCTGTGCATAAGGTCATTATGAGTCGGTGCCGACTCGACGGTACCAAACAACAATTTACTTTGAAAAAATTTTTTTAACTGAATACCCAAAGTTGACAATGAAATGAGCCCAGAAACCACTATTTAGAAAGCAAACTGGTCCCAATTCTGTTGGAAAGCAATTTGGCCTTTTAACTAGTTACAGTATTTCTATAGTTAACTATAGAAAATTAAAAGAAAAATGGAATCAGGATTGAAAACAATTTCATTCTGTAGAAAAGCAGCACACATCTGTGCTTGAGGATGTTTGTGGGGAGAAAAACACTGAAGAAAAACAACCAATAAGAAATCAGTAATGCCTACCCAGATCATAGAAATAAATCACCCTTATTCATTGCTTCTTTTCCATAGTTGTAAATTTCTTACAGAAATAGAAAGGTTTTTAAAATCCGCTTAATATATGACTGCTCTTTGACCCAAGTCAAATTTGTGCTATAGAAGCATCAAAATGCTTGCAGCCCCCTTCATATAAAAGTTATTAAGTTAGCTGTTGGCATCATTTAAGTAGATAGCAACCAGTGTTCAGGTTTAGAAAGCAGATGATATTTGAGGAGAAAAGCAAACACCCAATTAGCGGATGAAAAAGTGGGGGTTTTTCCTCTACAATGTGGGCTTGGTCTCCCTGTGTCTTTGAGTGAGGTTCATTTAATCTTTAAGCTTTCCTGCTTACTATGAGAGAAGTACACCAGGAATTCACTAAGTTGCCTCAAACTTTAAAATTCTTGGAGCTGCAAAAAGTAGATAAATATAGGAAGGCCATCACGATCCATGACTGACTTCACAAAGTCATGCCATTCTTTGGAAAGCACTCCATCCCTGGGGATGCTGAAGCTGCTGGGATAAGTCTCATACTTGGAGAACTGCTGTCTCCAACAGCACGGTGACTTATGGTCCACATACACCAACAAGAAGAATTTTAAGAACTTCCCATGAGAAGCTCCAGCCTATAAGAAAAAGGTGTGCCACAAACTGATAAGGAACTAACTACTTGCCAAAAAGGTTAATGATGCAAACCCACCCAGAGGCATATTGGAAGGAAAACAGATCAGGCAATCTGCTTCCAAAGTCAGTCTTGAAAACCCTAGGGAGCAGTTCTACTCTGCACACACTGGTCAGCATGAGTCCAAAGAAACTCCACAGCAACTAGCCACACGTGCGCAGGTGGACCCATGATGATTCCGAGGTAGAAAGAATGAATTCTCACCTTCCAAGTGGGAGACCCAGTTAGATTCCCAGCCAGTGCACCTCCTCCACCCTTCAGTGGGTGGAACTTTCAGACTAAGAAAAAAGGTCTGAGGATCTAGTTCCAAAAACCAGCCAATGAAAATCCTGTGGTTGACAACTCTGAGATCCATACTAATCATGGGGCTAGGCAGTGTTGTGCCCAAGGTTAACATGAGTCAGGGCGAATTAGACAGCAAAAACAACAACAAAAACAACCCCTATAGAAACAACACAATACAGCAGTTATATAGGAGTCCTGGTGTGGCGCTGCGGGCTAATGCGTCAGACTGCAAAGTCATTTGAACTGCAAGGTCAGTGGTTCAAGCTCACCAGCTGCTCCTTGGAAACCCTATACAGGGTGGCTATGGGTCAGAATCGACTCAATGGCAGTGAACAACAACAGAGCCAGATTGCCTAGCTTTGGATCCTGGCTTTACCACTCATTCATTAGCTGTGTGGTCTTAAGCAACTTACTCACTTCTCTACTTCGATAACTTCATGTGTAAAACAGAGATAACTTTTTCCTACACCCGCAGGGAAACCATCGTCTTCCTATCTCCTTCAACTCTTCAGTTCTAGTAGAAGAGTCTATCATCCTGCTTGAAGGAAAACATCTGCCTACTTCCAAGTTGGAATCCTGGTGTGGCACTACAGGTTAATGCACTGGACTGCAAGGCTGGTTTGAACTGCAAAGCCGGCAGTTCAAGCTCACTAGCCGCTCCTCGGAAACCCTATACAGGATCACAACAAGGGCACTTAACAACACTTTCAAGTTCAGTGCTTATCCTACAGCGCCACACCAGGACTCTATTTACTAAGGTAACCACATCCATATTCCGTCTTTCTCTGCCCCCTCTCCCTTTAATAAATGGCCACCAGAGAGGTGTCCTTCAATACTGGATTAATTACAAAACAAGACTAGAGTGGAGCTCTAATCCCCTTGGGCTCTCCTGAGTTTCCCCATTTAAAAAATAAACATGTGAAATATGGGGGGAAAGAGGAAAGGGCAGAGATCAATAAACAAAAGGTCTAATTATCAACCAAGTGTGATTAAAGTCCATCTGTCACAGATTGTTGTTGTTGTTGTTAAGTGCCATGGAGTTGGTTCAGACTCATAGTGACCCTGGATAGGGTTTCCATGGAGCAGCTGGTGGGTCTGAACTGGCACCCTTGTGGTTCAAATTGACTTTGCCATCCAGTGCATCATTCTGCAGCGCCACACCAACTCCACCTGTCACAGACACTAGCTAGAAAACCTTCTTTATGATGCTTCACCTCTGAACATTTGCACTGTTTCCCCGTGTGTTTTAAGACCATAGGACTCCTTGTCAGAACTACCTACTCCAAGGCCAGGGATGGCTTCTCAGAGAGCTAGAGACCCGGGTCAGTTCGCTTTCCACAGGTCTCTGAGACTGCAAACGAGAGCAGTCCTCACAGTTGTAGGTGAAAATATTAGTAACAGGGAAAAGAGCTGGTCAGAGATATACTCGTCTTGCCTATGAGTGTTCCAGTCAGAAACAAAACGTGGAAGCGGATTTTTTCAAGAGTGTCCGTTCTGTAAATGATTTAAAAGATAAACTATGATTTAACCACATGAAATTTGCCACAACAACGTTCCACTACACACACACACACACACACACACACACACACACACACACACACACACACGGACACAGAGAGAAAACCACATGGCAGAGAGTGAGACAAGGCAGGAGCTCAAAAGGAGGTGGGAAGCAGCTGTCACATAACGAACATCGGAAGGGGTGGGGACGCTATTAGGGAATGGTGCTGGTCCAGGACACCAATTAGGCTTTGAGTCAGATTAGATAGAGGCAACTGTTCATAAACTGCGTATTTATAAAGGTGAGGTGAGTGTAGTTTTCGTTCAAAAAAAATTGAGAATCCTTGAGTGGCACTTGAGAGGGTGGGCGTTTGGGGGTTCCAGGTTGTGCTCCCCTGCGGACTGAAGGAAGCCACTTTGGCAGCCTCGGTTCTCTGTCTCTCCATCTCCTGTTCCCGCTCCTCTGCCCGGGCACTGAGGGATGATGGGGCCGCGAGACACTTCAGGAAGACAGGGTGACCTGCAAGTGCCCTGCGGCCCCAGGTCCCGCAGCCACCGGTCCTGTGTGCGGGGGCGGAGGCCGGCAACACGAGGTCGGCCGTGAAGGCCCATGCGGCGGCCACAACGCGGCAGGAACCCCCGGTGTGGACAGATGGGATCAGGCGGAAACCACTTCTCTCGCTCCGATCTCCGGCCACCCAACCCCAAAGACACCGGTGGCATCAGGCACGAGCCCGGGCAGAGAGCTTCCGCGGATGAGGATGGCTGATCAAGGGAGGAGAGGAGCGGATTACACCCTCGGGGACAAGCCTGGCGGAGGCGCGGCGGGGTCGCGACGCCCAGATTACTCACCAGAAAAACACGCGCGAGCAGAGGTTCGCGCCCTGCAGCGGATTGGGCTTCACCTCCGGGTACACCGGCAGCATCTTGCGGGCTGGAGGCGGGCGGGGAAGGGTCCCGGGCCAGGGGTCGCACGGCCCAGACAGCGGTAGCCGCTACTGCTGCTCCTCGGCAGAGCCAGGAAAGATGCTAGAGCACCGGACGCCGTGCGGGTCCGCTACAGCGAGAGCCCGAGAAACACCCGCTTCCGGAAGCCGGGTGCCGGCGGCACGCCCCCGTCCCCGCCTCCCGGGGCCGCCTGGGGGCTGCCGGTGACGTGCCGCAGCCGCTGCCTCGAACCCGGGGATGTCGCTCTAGGTCAGAAAGGTGGTGCAACTGGGAGAAATAGCTGCTGGTCTCACGTTGCACAAAAGTGCGGAGGTGCAAGTCCTGGAACGCAGCCCTGGATCCACGCGCAGGTGGGAGGCGAGGAGGAGCGAGCTGGCGCCGCAGGATGGAGGTTAGGCAGACATAGCGGGGTGGAGAACCCGACGCCACTAGCCCGCCCCTTGGAGGCCTGGCGACGCCGAGGCACCCACGTGTTGGGACCTGACTGCAAACTTTGCGAAAGAGTTAAAGATCAGAGCCAAGGCAACAAAACCGAAGGCTACGAGGGGAGGTGCTAGTTCTCGCTTCCCCAGCTTCTTAGAAACGCCCCCTCGGCTGCCAGTTTCTAAGGACTGGAGAAAGTTACCAGACCGCTTTAGCAGCCCGCCACTTGGGCGCATGCCTTCATCAGGACCAAACATGGGTGCTGTGGGAGGTTCCTCAAATGTGCCTGCCAAACATTTGACCTCAGACAACTCAAGGTTTTAGCAGATTATCTTTATAGAGCTGTAAAACCTAAAGAAATACAGCTAATAATATTTGTTGTTGTTGATGTGTGTTCAAGAGACAATTAGAAGACCTCAGATGATTTTGGAAGAAGTAAAGGCTGTCCACCTCATGTATTAGAGGGTGGACTTCTCGGATATTTTCGCTGCTCTTTTGGATTGAGAAAGGGAAGCTATGAGAGAGAGAGAGAGGTGGTTTTATGATTTCTCTCATCTGGCCTTCACAGCCTCGCAGAGTAGCCGTAGATAAAAAGAACATAAGTTATAGAAGGCCAGTAATGCATACTTTTGGTTACCTCACCTCATTTTAGCTAACAAAGCCCTGTTGAATAGCTATGTTATAGAGGAGAAAGGTAAGGATCAAAGAGACAACTTGTCCAAGATCTAAAAATAAAGCTGTGGTTGAGTTCCGACTCCCAGTGACCCCAAGTGTTACAGAGTAGAAGTGTAATCCTGGTATGGCGCTGTAGGATAATGCACTGGACCGAAAGGCCAGTTTGAACCACAGTCAGTGGTTCAAACCCACTATCCACTCCTGGTAAACCCTATACAGGGTCACTATGAGTCAGAACTGACTGGAAGGCACTTAACAACAACAGTCTTTACAGAGGAGTCCAGGTATGGTGCTGTAGGATAAGCACTGGACGGCAAGGTCGATTTGAACCTTAAAGTCAGCTGTTCAAACCTACCAGCCACTCCCCGGAAACCCTATACAGGGTTGCTGAGTCATAACCAACTCAATGGCACTTAACAATAAAAGCAACAGTCTTTACAGGAACAGATTGTCAGGTCTTTATACCAAGGCCTCGCTGGAATTCCAACCTTTCGGATTAATAATCAAGGGTCGACCATTTGTGCCACACAGGGACTTTCAGCCTTCTTAAAAGTGAAAGAATGATGAAACTGAAGTCGAGGCTGAGAATGGTCAATCTGGCTGGTGGATGAAAAGTGGCCAGAAGACACTTGTTGAATGAGAGCTTCTAAGAATGAATAAACAAAATCACGGTCCAACTTTTGAATGTGCACTCGTAAGTCTTCACTGATGTGTATGGTTACCTAACCAGCTCATTGACTTTGCTTCCCTTTAGCCCTGAATGAAGAAAAATAACAGGTTTCAAGTTAATGGTGCTTGAAGCAAGATAACATTATTATTAAAAAATTTCTCATGTACCTTTATTAAATCTAATTAATAATGATTTTTAAAGAAAGCCACAGTATTAGAAATTGGCAAAGAACAAGGTACCAGGAATTGATGGAATAAAAATTTAAATCTTTCAAGAAAGTGAGGCGGCACAGGAGGTACTCACTCATCTCTGCCAAGAAATTTGGAAGACAACTATCTGGCTGACTGATTGGAAGAGATTCATATTTGTGCCCATTCGAAAGAGAGGTGACCCAACAAAATGCAGAAATCATCAGACAATCTCTTTGATATCCCATGCGACTAAAATTTTGCTAAAAGTAATATAGAAATGGCTACAAGCATACATTGACAGAGAACTTCCATAAGTTCAAGCCAGATTCAGAAGAGACCATGGAACAAGGGGATATCATTGCTGATGTCCAATAGATCTTGGCTGAAAACAGAGAATATCAGAAAGATGTTTACCTGTGCTTTATTGACTATGCAAAGGCTTTCAATTGTGTGGATCATGACAAGCTATGGACAACATTGCGAAATATGAGCATCCCTGAACATTTACTTGTGCTCACGAGGAATCTGTACCTGGACCAAGAGGCAGTTGTTTGAACAGAACATGGGAATGCTGAATGGTATAAAATTAGAAAAGGTGTGTGACAAGGTTGTATTCTTTCACCATACATATTCAGTCTGTATGCCAAGCAAATCATCCGAGAAGCTGGGTTCTATGAAGAAAAACATGGCATCAGGATTGGAGAAAGACTCATTAACAACCTGCGATATGCAGATGATACAACCTTGCTTGCTGAAAGTGAAGAGGACTTGAAATATTTACTGATGAAGATCAGAGAGCACAGCCTTCGGTGTGGATTGCATCTCAATGTCAAGAAAACAAAAATCCTCACCACTGGACCAATAAACAACAATCTTTTCTCAACAGAGAAAAGATTGAAATTGTCAAGAACTTCATTCTTTTTGGATCAACCATCAACACTCATGGAAGTAGCAGTCAAGAGATCAAATGACGTATTGTATTAGGCAAATCTGCTGCACGAGAACCTTTTAAAGTATTGAAGAGCAAAGATGTCAGCTTGAGGACTAAGGTGTGCCTGGCCCAAGCCATGGTATTTTCAATAACTTTATATGCATGCGAAAGTTGGATAGTGAATAAGGAAGACTGTAGAAGAATTGATGCCTTTGAGCTATGGTTTTGGAGGAGAATACTGAAAGTGCCATGGGCTGCCAAAAGAACCAATAAATCCGTTTGGAAGACGTGCAGCCAGAGTGCTCCTTGGAGGTCAGGATGGCCAAACTTTGTCCCTTATACTTTGGACATATTGTCAGGAGGGACCAGTCGCTGGAAAAGGATATCATGTTTGGTAAGGTGGAGGGTCAGAGAAAAAGAGGAAGACCCAGTGAGATGGATTGGCCAAGTGGCAGCATTGATGGACTCAAGCGTGGTAACAGTAGTGAGGTTGGCCCAGGATCAGGCAGTGTTTCATTCTGCTGTGCATAAGGTCGCTATGGGTCAGTACCGACTCAATGGCACCTTACAACAACACACTAGTAACAAATTTTTTTTGTGAAGGCTGTTGGATAAGAATGGTAAAATGTTCATTTGGGGAAGCAGGTAATGGGATTTATTATGCTCTTTTCTTGATATTTTATGTACTTTTGAGAATTTTCATCACAAAGCGAAAACAATTAGAACCAAGTGGTTTAGAAAAGGATATTCCTCAGTGTTCAAATGGTAAACACACTAACAGAAAGGTTGGCATTTCAAATCCACCCAGAGATACCAGGAAGAAAGGCCTGATTATGTACTTCTGAAAAAGTCAGCTATTGCAAATACTTTAGAGCACAGTTCTACCTTGACACACGTTATCAACCATGAGTTGAGAGCAGCTCCATGGTGACAGGTATTAGAAGCTGAAATTATTTTGTTTTCAGTCTTCTGAAAAACAGTTTCATTAATGAGACTAAGAAAAACTATATCCATTCCATTTTTTATTGTTCTTTGACCTCATTTTCAAATAAGGCAGTTTATAAGCCAAAAACCCTTCTCTGATTTAGTTCTCTTTCAAACTCCCTAAATTTTCTAATCTACTAACTTGAGATGTAACTCCTCAGTTACCAGTTATACTTGGAAGCAGAAGTATCTGCTCCTTTGAAGTCTAGAGACGTCTTCCCTTGTCAGATTATGCCAGACCTCTCTGCTTCCTGATAGTGTCTCAGAACCAAAGCAGTCTCAAAGGGCCACAATGCTCAATCCCTTCAACTTCAACTTCTGCTGACTCTTTTTTTTTTTTCTTTTTTTTCCCTAAGTTCCTTTTGAAACTTCTTAACATTCTTCTCTAAACTGTCATGAATTTGGTTTTAGAGGCAATACTGAAAACTCTTGACTGGGGTCAGAGGACAGGGTTCTAAACTTTCTATACTTTTACCTAGTCTTCCTGTTTCTTAGTTTTCTCAGGAGACTAAAAATTCCCATTCTTCCTGCTTCACAGAGTTATTATGAACCTTATGACTTGTGAATATATTTTGTAAAAACCTATGATATATAAGAAACTTTGGTGGTACAGTGGGTTAAGCATTTGATTGCTAGCCACGAGGTCAGCAGTGGAACTTACCAGCTGCTCCCACAAAGATGTACCGACTCAGAAACCCTGAGGAGCACTTCTATGCTCTCCTATTGCTATCAGTCAAAATTGACTTGAAGGCAGTATCATCTCAAAAGGTCTTGACGCGTAACTAAAAGGGGGAATAGTTAATCCTTCATTTCAGGGACGGACGATCCCAGGACCATCAAGAAGGAAGAGCGTGAGTGGAGTGTGAGATCCTACCTAGAAAAGCAGCAACAGCAGGGACAGTGGCAGAGACGATGGCATGGAGAGAGAAAGCAGCTGCGGCCTCTAGGCCCTTGGACTGAGAAAGGCTATGCACCTGAAGGCAGGAGACTGACTGGCAGAGTGTGCCCTTAGTACTTTTAAATGATTATAGATTTTTTGGTTTGTACATGTGCATCCATTCGTTTTGCTTTGTTCACTTGTGAAATTATCAGATGTCAAAGGGA